ATTAGGGAGAAACTTAAACAAAAATTTTCCACTTCTCACATAAGCACTTTCAAATTTGTGTCATTTCGGCTATATTTATGATTTTTTCGAGATAAACAATTCATGACTTTAACAATAAAGCCAACAAGTTGTAAATATATTTATTCTTGTACATCCCCCATTTTGGATCTGTCTAATATATAAATTCGATAGTCTAACTGTGTATTCAGTTTGAATATATAAAATACATTGATAGGAAGACAGACACTTACACAAATAAAAATAAACATACATATGTATCTTATATTCTAAGCACAAGTACTTTACTGATATACAGTAAGTACAAAAAAACTATGTTGATTGTAAGTGTTTTCCTAAATGTAACTTTTAAAGTTTTTTTTTTCTTCTAAAAAATAGGAAAATTTGAAAAAAAAAAACTTTTATATTGCACATAAGTTTTGTGATTTATTTTAATTTGCAGAAACCGAAGAAGATCCTGTTTCCTGTTCAAAAACTAACAAAATATTTAATTCCTTTGTAAAATGGAAATATAAGAAGATTTTTTTACGAAATCTTCTTATATTTCTTGTTAAAATAAACAAAAGTATTATCGAAAAGTTAAGTCAGTTTGAAAAATATAATTTAAAACTAATTGTTAAACAAACAGAAAACTAATTTTTAAGAAAAATATAAACAAAAACAGTTTGGCTAAGCCGAGTCATAACCTTGTTTGTCTTAGTAGAGTTATAAGTCTCGAATACTTTTTTAAATTAGACTATTGTGTCGATATGAAGAAAGTTGCTGGGTTTTTGGTTAAAAAAAAGGTTTATCTGAAAAATAATTTATTAATATTTTTGCCATATTTAAAATATTAAAACACAAAATTTTGTTTTCATTAATTTTCATAATTCATAATATTTATTTATAGGGGTTTTTTTCTGGTTGTCGTTTTTTTGTTATTAATATCAATATAATTATTTTATTGCTATTGTTCAATTACAATAATATTTTTATAATCAAAATTTAATATATAAAAAAACAAAATTTATTGCTTTTCATTATGTATTCGTAAGTATTTTGAGTAAAATAAACATAATTTAAGTTTTATTAAAAAATAAACATAAAAAAATAGTTAAAATAATAATATTAAAAAAATTATAAAAATAACAAGAGATTAGTCAGTGCTTATAAAAAGAGAAAAAATTATAACATAAATAAAATATTTATTAAAATTATTACAATAAAAATTAAAAGTGAAATGATGATGATAATGTTGCTTAATATTTAACTTGAATTTTATGATACAATGGAAAAATTATATTTAATATTTTTTTAAATATAAAAATATATATCAAATTAATTTTAACTACAAATTAAAGTTATTATTAATCGAGAAAAAAAAACTTAAAAATTAAATTATATTTAATCAGGCTGAATTTTAAATGCATAAATTTATTTAAAAAAAATTTCTCTGCAATTTAAGTAATTTTATTTTCTACTTTTATTATGGTTTAAAATTTCTTTAAATTTATTCTTAAATTTGTCTCAATTTTCTTTCTTTTTTTTTAAGGGAATGGCTAAACAACATAAACATATATTTGGTGGGGTTTCTAGGAGAGGATTTAAGGTAAGGAGGCAGTATTTTTTACTTTTTTCATTATTAACAAAAATCTTTAAATTAATACATTTTTTCATATATATAAATGCTTGTTTTTTTTAATTAATTGCGACTAGATTTTTATAATTACCTAAAATTAATCGAACTTAAATTTATGTAAAAAAAACTTAAAAAAACAATAAAGATAATTACAATGAATATTATGAAAGTTAATTTTTAAGAAAATATTTTAAATTCTAATGACAATAATAAAAAATTCTATAAAAATAATATATTCACAATTGTTAAGTTTAATTCTAGACTTTTTAACTTGAGGGTAAAGAAATTAAATTAAAATTTAAAAAGAGATATTCATGAATATTTTGTACCCTTCAACGTGATTAAAATGAAGAGCAGAACTACAACAAAATAGCACCGAACTAAAACAGAGCTAGAACAGCACTACAACTGAACTGAACTTGAACTGAACTAGAACAGAACTAGAACAGAACTAGAACAGAACTAGAACAGAACTAGAACAGAACTAGAACAGAACTAGAACAGAACTAGAAAAGAACTAGAACAGAACTAGAACAGAACTAGAACAGAACTAGAACAGAACTAGAACAGAACTAGAACAGAACTAGAACAGAAACTAGAACAGAACTAGAACAGAACTAGAACAGAACTAGAACAGAACTAGAACAGAACTAGAACAGAACTAGAACAGAACTAGAACAGAACTAGAACAGAACTAGAACAGAACTAGAACAGAACTAGAACAGAACTAGAACAGAACTAGAACAGAACTAGAACAGAACTAGAACAGAACTAGAACAGAACTAGAACAGAACTAGAACAGAACTAGAACAGAACTAGAACAGAACTAGAACAGAACTAGAACAGAACTAGAACAGAACTAGAACAGAACTAGAACAGAACTAGAATAACTAGAACAGAACTAGAACAGAACTAGAACAGAACTAGAACAGAACTAGAACAGAACTAGAACAGAACTAGAACAGAACTAGAAACAGAACTAGAACTAGAACAGAACTAGAACAGAACTAGAACAGAACTAGAACTAGAACAGAACTAGAACAGAACTAGAACAGAACTAGAACAGAACTAGAACAGAACTAGAACAGAACTAGAACAGAACTAGAACAGAACTAGAACAGAACTAGAACAGAACTAGAACAGAACTAGAACAGAACTAGAACAGAACTAGAACAGAACTAGAACAGAACTAGAACAGAACTAGAACAGAACTAGAACAGAACTAGAACAGAACTAGAACAGAACTAGAACAGAACTAGAACAGAACTAGAACAGAACTAGAACAGAACTAGAACAGAACTAGACCAGAACTAGAACAGAACTAGAACAGAACTAGAACAGAACTAGAACAGAACTAGAACAGAACTAGAACAGAACTAGAACAGAACTACAGAACTAGAACAGAACTAGAACAGAACTAGAACAGAACTAGAACAGACTAGAACAGAACTAGAACAGAACTAGAACAGAACTAGAACTGAACTAGAAATGAACTAGAACTAGAACTATAAGAACTGAACTAGAACTGAACTAGAACTGAACTAGAACTGAACTAGAACTGCACTAGACTGAACTACTAGAACTGAACTAGAACTGAACAGAACTGAACTAGAACTGAACTAGAACTGAACTAGAACTGAACTAGAACTGAACTAAACTGAACTAGAACTGAACTAGAACTGAACTAGAACTGAACTAGAACTGAACTAAACTGAACTAGAACTGAACTAGAACTGAACTAGAACTGAACTAGACTGAACTAGAACTGAACTAGAACTGAACTAGAAACTGAAACTAGAACTGAACTAGAACTGAACTAGAACTGAACTAAACTGAACTAGAACTGAACTAGAACTGAACTAGAACTGAACTAGAACTGAACTAAACTGAACTAGAACTAACTGAACTAAGAACTGAACTAGAACTGAACTAGAACTGAACTAGAACTGAACTAGAACTGAACTAGAACTGAACTAGAACTGAACTAGAACTGAACTAGAACTGAACTAGAAACTGAACTAGAACTGAACTAGAAACTAGAACTGAACTAGAACTGAACTAGAACTGAACTAGAACTGAACTAGAACTGAACTAGAACTAACTGAACTGAACTAGAACTGAACTAGAACTGAACTAGAACTGAACTAGAACTGAACTAGAACTGAACTAAGAACTGAACTAGAACTGAACTAGAACTGAACTAGAACTGAACTAGAACTGAACTAGAACTGAACTAGAACTGAACTAGAACTGAACTAGAACTGAACTAGAACTGAACTAGAACTGAACTAGAACTGAACTAGAACTGAACTAGAACTGAACTAGAACTGAACTAGAACTGAACTAGAACTGAACTAGACTGAACTAGAACTGAACTAGAACTGAACTAGAACTGAACTAGAACTGAACGAACTGAACTAGAACTGAACTAGAACTGAACTAGAACTGAACTAGAACTGAACTAGAACTGAACTAGAACTGAACTAGAACTGAACTAGAACTGAACTAGAACTGAACTAGAACTGAACTAGAACTGAACTAGAACTGAACTAGAACTGAACTAGAACTGAACAAGAACTGAACTAGAACTGAACTAGAACTGAACTAGAACTGAACTAGAACTGAACTAGAACTGAACTAGAACTGAACTAGAACTGAACTAGAACTGAACTAGAACTGAACTAGAACTGAACTAGAACTGAACTAGAACTGAACTAGAACTGAACTAGAACTGAACTAGAACTGAACTAGAACTTAACTAGAACTTAACTAGAACTGAACTAGAACTGAACTAGAACTGAACTAGAACTGAACTAGAACTGAACTAGAACTGAACAAGAACTGAACTAGAACTGAACTAGAACTGAACTAGAACTGAACTAGAACTGAACTAGAACTGAACTAGAACTAGAACTGAACTAGAACTGAACTACAGGTCAAAGGTTAGCCTTTAAAAAATTTAAAATTATATTTAGACAGAATCATATAACAGATATCATCTTTAAAACGGAAACATAATACACTAGTCTTCGATGTTAAGTTCAATATTTTCATATTGTAGTTTTCAAGAAAACTTAGAGAAATTTCGGGCGAATTTAAACCAATCATTACAGATTTTAAATATTATTGCCATAATTTTGCTATTTTGTTTAAACTTGCTGTAGGGTACAAAATACACAACTCTTTTTCTTTATAATTTGTTTGTTTGAGTTGAACATTTTACATTGTTTAATAACTGAACTAGAACTGAACTAGAACTGAACTAGAACTGAATTAGAACAGAACTAGAACTGAACTAGAACTGAACTAGAGCTGAACTAGAACTGAACTAGAACTGAACTAGAACTGAACTAGAACTGAACTAGAACTGAACTAGAACTAAACTAGAACTGAACTAGAACTGAACTAGAACTGAACTGGAACTGAACCAGAACTGAACTAAAGGTCAAAGGTTAGCCTTTAGAAAAATTTAAAATTATATATTAGACAGAATCATATATCAGTTATTATCATTGAATCGGAAACATAATACACTCGTCTTCGGTGTCAAAGTTCAATATTTTCATATTGTAGTTTTCAAAAAAACTTAGAGAAATTTCGCGTGAATTTAAACCAATCATTACAGATTTTAAATATTATTGCCATAATTTTGTTATTTTGTTTAAACTTGCTGTAGGGTACAAAATACACAACTCTTTTTCTTTATAATTTGTTTGTTTGAGTTGAACATTTTACATTGTTTAATAACAAAGTAAAAATTAATTTAACTTTATCATTTAAATGATTAAATTGCTACTAAAAATGTTAATAACAAAACGTTTTAGTAATATTTATCGTATATTATTTAAATGTCTAATAAAAAATAATTAGAAACCAGTCGTTTTACCATATTGGAATTGGAATTATACACTTAAAATTCTAACTTAATGTAATAATTTGATAACAAATAATAAATGTTGTTAAAAAAGTATAATTAAAAAGTCAAGATAAATTTTGTAAGGAAATATTTATGATATTTTATGTGTCAATTGAAATGATATGGATAAGTCAGGAAAAAAAATCGAATAAAAATTTAAATAAATCAAGTTATAAATTAATACCCAATAGGAAATTTATAGTGTTAGTGGCAACAATAAAATATCTTAGATGAAATACAGGCATTGAGAGTAAAAGAGATGGATGAGCTGCTCTGTGACTTAGAACGAGAGAGCTTTTTGCTTAGGTGTTGTTTAGCTTTATCGGCGTTTTGCTGGTTTGTTTTGATCTGTATTGTTTGTCCTCTAAACTTTTTCTATTGGGTGCTGGGTAGTTTCGAATTGAATTTGTTTATAATTTTTAACAAATTATAACTTAAATACTGAATGAACAAGTTTAGTTTTTTTTGTTGCTAAATTGTTGTTAATAGATTTGCAAATCGTGTTTTGTAAAAAGTACTGATTGAATAATTGAAAATATTGAATGAGAAAAAATAGAAACCAGTTTAGAGAAGTTTTAGTCTTTAGTTCAACAAATTCTTGAGTAATTTCATAAATAATCAATCATATAGGCGCCATCAGGTAATTTATAAGAAAATCATTAAACTAAGCACAGTGGGTTTGGGGCGATATAAATCGGTTTTAAAGAAAGAGAAAATGGCAATAAAAAATACATTTAGCGTTAGAGGGCGCTGTGGAAAGCTTTCAACCAACTCCCTTTACTGCTTACCTTAAGCAAGACCACTTATTTTAATGCTTCTTTATTGTAGACCAGAGGGCAGAAGCTTATTTAGAGTTTAAGCTGAAAAGCTTAAACAAAACTTTGGATTTCTTTTCTAAAGGTTGACACAATTCAATAATAATCTTAATTTTCTTTTCAAATTTTGTTTTAAGTTTTTCATATAATATTATCAGACTAAAAAAGTTTAGTAGAAAAAAGTTTTACTAAAATTACTATTATTAATAATTTTTATAAGTTTTGATTTTGTTTTCTTGTTTAAGTATAATTAAATTTTTATATTTTAGGAGGGAGCAATAGGGATATGCTGGTAATTTTTACTTTTTTTTTTTAAAACTAAAATCAATAAATTTTAAATTTAATTTCTTTAAATTTCATTTTATAGTTTCATAATCGTATAACATTATAAATATGTATGAATGTAAGTATTAGCTAAAGTTAATTATTTAATTAATTAATATATTTGTTTTTGTTTTTTTATTCACTTTTCAAGTTCATCATTATTGTATAGTAATTTGTTGTTTTGTATTTTTTTGTTTAAACATTTCTTAAATTCAAAAAAGATCTACATTAGTTAATAAATTATTTATTTATTTTGTAATACTTTTATAGTTTAATAACATTATGTATGTGTGTGTTTTTGTTTTTTAGCAAATATCTGTGTTAATCCAACACAACTTGTAGCTAATTTTTTCATTGTTTACTTTTCTGGCAAAAGTAGTTGTTGTTTTCTTTCAATTCAAACAAAAGCTTTTTAAAGCTTAAGAAAAGCTTACAAAAACTGCTCACCAATCCATATCACTAGAAAGATGTCTTTCCTCTCGTCTAGGACAGCGTCCATGTTTCTTAATATATTGACCATATTCACAGGTGGGCAATTTACAGCGACCCTCTAAGATACATCTAAAATAGTAAACGAAAAAAAGTGAAAATTAATTATATAAAATTTTAAAATTTTTTCCAAATCTCTCCAGTACAAAACTTTTATTTATTTTTTCTTTCTTCTCCAACTTACTTTCTATCATTCATAGAGAAATGTTCCATGCCTCTTTTCAGCCAATCACAGCCCATATTACCCGATGAACAGTCACATCGACAGAAACCATCTTCTTGTAAAATTTTCTCAAATAAATTGGGACAATAACAATTGAGTATTGTGGCCCGTCTTAGATAGGGTATTTGATTATTCGCCATAAGTTCTTTGGCACCAGAGCTGGCATATTCGGGTGCTCGCTGTTTCGAACGATTGACACAATGACATTCGGTGTGATTAACAAATGTTAGCTTTTCTATTGATCCTTGTGTTTCATTAAGGCTGATAACCTGGAAATTGAAAATGAAGACAATATAATAATTAGAAAAATTTTCTTTATAAAAAGAGAACATATTTAAAACTACTATAGACTAAAATATGCACTAGACTATATGTTAGACTACAGGTTAGACTATTGACTAGATTATAGATTAGACTATAGACCAGTTTATTGACTAAACTAAACCGTAGACTAAACTAGACTATAGACTAGACTATAGACTAGACTAGACTAGACTATAGACTAGACTATAGACTAGACTATAGACTAGACTATAGACTAGACTATAGACTAGACTATAGACTAGACTATAGACTAGACTATAGACTAGACTATAGACTAGACTATAGACTAGACTATAGATTAGACTATAGACTAGACTATAGACTAGACTATAGACTAGACTATAGACTAGACTATAGACTAGACTATAGACTAGACTATAGACTAGACTATAGACTAGACAATAGACTAGACTATAGACTAGACTATAGACAGAGATAGACTAGACTATAGACTAGACTATAGACTAGACTATAGACGACTATAGACTAGACTATAGACTAGACTATAGACTAGACTATAGACTAGACTATATACTAGACTATAGACTAGACTATAGACTAGACTATAGACTAGACTATAGACTAGACTATAGACTAGACTATAGACTAGACTATAGACTAGACTATAGACTAGACTAGACTAGACTATAGACTAGACTATAGACTAGACTATAGACTAGACTATAGACTAGACTATAGACTAGACTATAGACTAGACTATAGACTAGACTATAGACTAGACTATGACTAGACTATAGACTAGACTATAGACTAGACTATAGACTAGACTATAGACTAGACTATAGACTAGACTATAGACTAGACTATAGACTAGACTAGACTAGACTATAGACTAGACTATAGACTAGACTATAGACTAGACTATAGACTAGACTAGATAGACTATAGACTAGACTATAGACTAGACTATAGACTAGACTATAGACTAGACTATAGACTAGACTATAGACTAGACTATAGACTAGACTATAGACTAGACTATAGACTAGACTATAGACTAGACTATAGACTAGACTATAGACTAGACTATAGACTAGACTATAGACTAGACTATAGACTAGACTATAGACTAGACTATAGACTAGACTATAGACTAGACTATAGACTAGACTATAGACTAGACTATAGACTAGACTATAGACTAGACTATAGACTAGACTATAGACTAGACTATAGACTAGACTATAGACTAGACTATAGACTAGACTATAGACTAGACTATAGACTAGACTATAGACTAGACTATAGGACTAACTATAGACTAGACTATAGACTAGGACTATAGGACTAGACTCTAGACAGAATAGGACTAGCTATAGACTAGATAAGCTAGACTATAGACTAGACTATAGGGACTAGACTATAGGACTACATTAAAGGCCAGGACTATAGGTTGGTCTATTGAACTTTGTGAGAACTAATTATTGAAGTTATAATTTGGGGAAAAGTACGAAAATGTCGTGAGTATTATTTCGATATAAAAAATTACTGAAAAAAGTACTAAAGTACAGAATTTTTCAGTCCTGGAATGTTACCTGTATTCAGTATACACTGGAACTTGTCATGGGGGGATAAATAATTTATCAAGTTAATAAAGCTTTAAAGTAAAGTGTCTATTCACAAAGCTTGTTGAGGGAACTAAAAGAACTCTAAGTTTTTAAATGTTTTTTGCCAAATGTATTGTTTCCTAGAAAAAGGCACGAGTACAATTTCAAATACTTGAGAGTTTTTTTCTAGATTGCAATTTAATTTTTCATTTACAATTCCAAGAACTCATAATATTTTTATTTTGCATTTTGCAAAATCATTAATGCCCATAATTTAATGGGTTTAAAAGTGTTTAAGGCAGATGCTTAAAGGTATTGAATGTTAAAATCTGAATGGAAAGAAGAACTAGGCGGGAATTCGTTTCAAATTATAACCAGAAAGCACTGATGTAATTATGAAGAAGCAGCTGTCTCAACATTTTGCTTTCGAAGAATCTAAAAAGTCGATATTTAAGGAAAATCTATACTATAGAGTCCTTCCCCCAAGCATTTCCTTTTATGCTCTCTTTCCCTCTCTAAGCTTTTGCTTTTTAAAGATTTGTTTCCTTTAAATGTCTGCAAATTATTACGACTGTAAATAATACTTTTTTGTTGCAATTTAATGATGATTTCAAAAGTGAATGAAAATTAATGCAAGATTGAAACAATGAATAAAAATATTAATTCATTTATTTATTTACCATGTTTGTGTATAAGTGTGTGTGTGTGTGTGTTGCGAGAGTGAGTGTTTGTTTGTTAATTTGATGGAAAAGTTTTATGACCATGAGGTTCATAAAACTAAATGAATTAATTATGATGACAAAGGATATGCATATAAAAACATGTTGGTAAAATAATACGCAAAACATTACACGTTATGATAGCAAAACCAAACAGCCTAAGTCGAAATTAAAAAAAAATGTTTAAAGTATTTATTCATATAAACCGTGTAATGACAGAAACGTATACATTTTTTAACACATTTTGCCTTATTACTTTCTTAGTTTAACAAATAAAAAAAACTTAAAATATTACAAAAAAATTAGCACAATTAACATGCTAACAAACTCATTTTTTAATGTTGCCTATTTTAATGTTGTTTAGTTTTTTTTTATGACTAAACAATGACCCAAATGACAATAAACTCTACTCTACTACTGCGCTACAAAAGACATGACACTGCACACTTCATCACATCCATTAAAAATAAACAAAACATACAAACTAACGAACAAAATGCGATGATGATGGCTGTGACTCTTGAAAGTGGCAAAAACATATTATTTGTTGCATTCATGTGCGGTGGCAACAACAAAATGAACATTCACTTTAACGTCGCATTCGTCATCATTAAACGCATTTAAATATAAAAACATGTTGTAAAATAAGTTAATAACAAAATGTGTAGTTGTTTTTTTTTTTTTTTTGTTTGCAGTTGTTGTGGTATTTTTTTTAATTTCATTAGAAATTGTAGAGTACATTAAATTAATGAATAAAATCCATAAAGAAAAAACAAAAGTATGAATATTAAACAAATGTTTAGAGGACGGTTACTACGGTCCAGTAAATAAGCAGTAAAGTTAGGTGTACTACTTCTGCAAGCTTTACACTTCTGCGTGATTGGAAGTATTTGCAACAAGTATTTTTCGTCTCCAATATCTCTTAGAGAAACACAGAACAGAACAGAACTAGAACAGAACTAGAACAGAACTAGAACAGAACTAGAACAAACTAGAACAGAACTAGAACAGAACTAGAACAGAACTAGAACAGAACTAGAACAGATCTAGAACAGAACTAGAACAGAACTAGAACAGAACTAGAACAAAACTAGTTTAGACACAAAATGGACTTTTAGGTTTTCACTCAAAAAATCGAATTTTGATAGGAAATAAAGGTGATCACAGATTTGAATCCGTTTTGCCCTAGGGCCTATAGTTTAGCCAGAAAATGGACTTTTATGTTTTCACTTAAAAAATCGATTTTTGGTAGGAAATATAAGTGATCACAGATTTTCATCGTTTTTGCCATAGGGCCTATAGTTTAGCCAGAAAATGGACTTTTATGTTTTCACTTCAAAAATCGAATTTTGGTAGAAAATAAAAGTGATCACAGATTTAGCCAGAAAATGGACTTTTATGTTTTCGCTCAAAAAATCGAATTTTGATAGGAAATAAAAGTGATCACAGATTTTCATCGGTTTTGCCCTAGGGCCTATAGTTTAGCCAGAAAATGGACTTTTATGTTTTCACTCAAAAAATCGAATTTTGGTAGAAAATAAATGTGATCACAGATTTTCATCGGTTTTGCCCTAGGGCCTATAGTTTAGCCAGAAAATGGACTTTTATGTTTTCGCTCAAAAAATCGAATTTTGATAGGAAATAAAAGTGATCACAGATTTTCATCGTTTTCGACCTAGGGCCTATAGTTTAGCCAGAAAATGGACTTTTATGTTTTCGCTCAAAAAATCGAATTTTGATAGGAAATAAAAGTGATCACAGATTTTCATCGTTTTCGACCTAGGGCCTATAGTTTAGCCAGAAAATGGACTTTTATGTTTTCACCCCAAAAATGGAATTTTGGTAGGAAATAAAAGTGACCACAGATTTTCATCGTTTTCGACCTAGGGCTTATAGTTTAGCCAGAAAATGGACTTTTATGTTTTCACTTAAAATTTGAATTTTGGTAGGAAATAAAAGGTATCACAGATTTTCATCGGTTTTGCCCTACTACCTATAGTTTAGCCAGAATATGGACTTTTATGTGTTCACTCAAAAAATCGAATTTTGATAGAAAAATCGAATTTTGATAGGAAAAATCGAATTTTGATAGGAAATAAAAGTGATCACAGATTTTCATCGGTTTTGCCCTAGGGCCTATAGTTTAGCCAGAAAATGGACTTTTATGTTTTCGCTCAAAAAATCGAATTTTGATAGGAAATAAAAGTGATCACAGATTTTAATCGTTTTCGTCCTAGGGCCTATAGTTTAGCCAGAAAATGGACCTTTATGTTTTCACTCCAAAAATCGAATTTTGGTATGAAATAAAAGTGATCACAGATTTTCATCGGTTTTGCCCTAGGGCCTGTAGTTTAGCCAGAAAATGGACTTTTATGTTTTCGCTCAAAAAATCGAATTTTGATAGGAAATAAAAGTGATCACAGATTTTCATCGTTTTCGACCTAGGGCCTATAGTTTAGCCAGAAAATGGACTTTTATGTTTTCACTTAAAAAATCGAATTTTGGTAGGAAATAAAAGTGATCACAGATTTTCATCGGTTTCGTCCTAGGGCCTATAGTTTAGCCAGAAAATGGACTTTTATGTTTTCACTTAAAAAATGGAATTTTGGTAGGAAATAAAAGTGATCACAGATTTTCATAGTTTTCGTCCTAGGGCCT